CTTTATCCGAGAGACGACGACGACGACGACATGAGAGAGGAGAATGAAACGTCGGAGCGTGTTGGATGTAGACGCGGCGGTACGACGCGACGACGCTAGTTATTATATATTTATTTATGTAATATCGTAAACGTCGTCGTCTTTGTCGTCGTCGCGGCATCTCAAAACGCGAAAGCGACGATTCGTTCGTCATACGAACGAATCGTAAACTCACACATAGAACGAACACGCGCGCTGTACGGATAAAAATCGTAATAGCACTACATATATATATATATATATATATATGTATATATGCTGTAGTCGTTACGCGTTTCGAACTTGCGCTGCGATCGTCGTGTCCGAGAGAGAAATTATTTTTTTCGAGATAACGACGTCTGATCGCATATACGCGCTAAACACTAGAGAACGCTTTCGACTAGTAGTAGTATAGCAGCAGCAGCTATACGATTTAGTATTAGCGATCGCGTGTGACATATATATCTGTGTGTGGTGTTGTGTTGTATATTGTTAACCGACCTCAGAGCAGGTGAGACTACCCGCTGAATTTAAGCATATTACTAAGCGGAGGAAAAGAAACTAACTAGGATTCCCTCAGTAGCTGCGAGCGAACAGGGAAAAGCCCAGCACCGAATCCCGCGGTCGATATCGGGCGCCGGGAAATGTGGTGTTAGGGAGGATCCGTTTATCCCGAGGTCGCGCGGCGAGTCCAAGTCCTTCTTGAACGGGGCCACAGCCCATAGAGGGTGCCAGGCCCGTAGTGGCCGCTGCCGATCGCGGGAGGATCTCTCCTCAGAGTCGGGTTGCTTGAGAGTGCAGCCCTAAGTGGGTGGTAAACTCCATCTAAGGCTAAATATGACCACGAGACCGATAGCGAACAAGTACCGTGAGGGAAAGTTGAAAAGCACTTTGAAGAGAGAGTTCAAGAGTACGTGAAACCGTTCAGGGGTAAACCTGAGAAACCCGAAAGGTCGAAAGGGGAAATTCATTCGCGTTTCGGCCGTCGGCGATGAGCGGTCGCGCGACGGACGGCGTTCGCGCGTCGTCCGCGCCTTTCGCTTTTCGATCCGGCGTCGAACGCGTGCACTTTTCCCCTAGTAGGACGTCGCGATCCGTTGGGTGTCGGTCTACGGCTCGCGGTGGAGTCCGTGTACGATCGTTTCGGCGATTCGTGCTCGAACCCGCGATGTTCCGGCCGACTCGCTCGACGGTATACAGATGGCGCGAGGCCGCTACTTCTTCAATTAGCGTCCGACCCACGACAAGCACGTTCGATGCTAAGACGGCGATCGGACCTAGCGCCCGGTTCCGTCCCCGGACGACTGTTGGTCGTGCGGATTTCTCGGACAGACCTCGTTTGAAACGCCGATCTGCGACGCTATAGCTTTGGGTAATTTCAGGACCCGTCTTGAAACACGGACCAAGGAGTCTAGCATGTGCGCGAGTCATTGGGACATAACTAAACCTAAAGGCGCAATGAAAGTAAAGATCCGCCTAGCGCGGATTTAGGGAAGATGGGCGGCACGTCTATAAAGCGGCCGCTCCGCACTCCCGGGGCGTCTCGTTCTCATTACGAGAAGAGGCGCACCAAGAGCGTACACGCTGGGACCCGAAAGATGGTGAACTATGCCTGGTCAGGACGAAGTCAGGGGAAACCCTGATGGAGGTCCGTAGCGATTCTGACGTGCAAATCGATCGTCGGAACTGGGTATAGGGGCGAAAGACTAATCGAACCATCTAGTAGCTGGTTCCCTCCGAAGTTTCCCTCAGGATAGCTGGCGCTCGTCTGTGACGAGTTTCATCCGGTAAAGCGAATGATTAGAGGCATTGGGGTCGAAACGACCTCAACCTATTCTCAAACTTTAAATGGGTGAGATCTCCGGCTTGCTCGAACTAATGAAGCTGCGAGAATCGAATCAGAGTGCCAAGTGGGCCATTTTTGGTAAGCAGAACTGGCGCTGTGGGATGAACCAAACGTCGAGTTAAAGCGCCTAAATCGACGCTTATGGGATACCATGAAAGGCGTTGGTAACTTAAGACAGCAGGACGGTGGCCATGGAAGTCGGAATCCGCCAAGGAGTGTGTAACAACTCACCTGCCGAAGTTACTAGCCCTGAAAATGGATGGCGCTGAAGCGTCGTGCTTATACTCGGCCGTCAGCGGCATGTGCGGTCTCGATCCGCGTAAAAACGGATCGGCCATGAAGCTCTGACGAGTAGGAGGGTCGCGGCGGTGCGCGCAGAAGGGCTGGCCGTGAGGCCGTCTGGAGCCGCCGTCGGTGCAGATCTTGGTGGTAGTAGCAAATACTCCAGCGAGGCCCTGGAGGACTGACGTGGAGAAGGGTTTCGTGTGAACAGCCGTTGCACACGAGTCAGTCGATCCTAAGCCCTAGGCGAAAGCCGATGTTGATGTGGCGTTGTTTTATAAATATATGTATGTATGTGTGTATATATAAAGAACACGCCCGTCGGGCGAAAGGGAATTCGGTTCCTATTCCGAAACCCGGCAGCGGAACCGTACAATAGTCGGGCCCTCGCAAGAGAGTTCGTCGGGGTAACCCAAAAAGACCCGAAGACGCCGTCGGGAGACCAGGGAAGAGTTTTCTTTTCTGCATAAGCATTCGAGTTCCATGGAATCCTCTAGCAGGGAGATATGGTTTGGAATGCGAAGAGCACCGCAGTTGCAGCGGTGTCCTGGTCTTCCCCTCGGACCTTGAAAATTCGGGAGAGGGCCACGTGGAGGTGTCGCGCCGGTTCGTACCCATATCCGCAGCAGGTCTCCAAGGTGAAGAGCCTCTAGTCGATAGAATAATGTAGGTAAGGGAAGTCGGCAAATTGGATCCGTAACTTCGGGATAAGGATTGGCTCTGAGGATCGGGGCGTGTCGGGCTTGGCGAGGAAGCGGGTCGCGGCTGACGTGCCGGGCCTGGGCGAGGTGAAACGTTCTGTCGTATGCGTTCGCGCGTGTGCGGTAGGATTGCGGATCCGAACTCGGTACCGTGCCTTGGCCTCCCGCGGAACCGTCTTGCTGCGAGGCCCAGAGTGCGCTCGCAAGGGCGTTCTGGTGTCCTCTTCGGCCGCCATTCAACGGTCAGCTCAGAACTGGCACGGACCGGGGGAATCCGACTGTCTAATTAAAACAAAGCATTGAGATGGCCCCTGCGGGTGTTGACTCAATGTGATTTCTGCCCAGTGCTCTGAATGTCAACGTGAAGAAATTCAAGCAAGCGCGGGTAAACGGCGGGAGTAACTATGACTCTCTTCCGCCGCTGAGGAGTGTGCACGTGTGTGCGACATAACGCGATTTTAAATACGACTCAAGAGGCACTACCGCGTCGCGGCGCCCACAAAACGGGCAACACACGTGCGGTGGCGGGGTTAGTGCGTGGGAGTGGAGACAGCGGGGTGAGTACCAAGGGCTGGTGTTTATAAGCAAATACTTTTAAACAACGCGATTCTAACCTAGAAATCTCGCAATAAAGGTTAGAATCGCACGACGAACAGCGGGCCCCATATTGTCTTTGGGGCATCGCGCATCTAGTAGAATATCACACCAGCTCGACTGCCCCCCGCAACGCCGGTTTCCGGCGTCTAGCCGCTACTGCCCTTTTGGCAGGTACATCGTGTCCGACGGGGCCAAAAAGGCGTCCAACAAATCATCTACCGGCCCCAAGGACACACACCAAATCTCAGCTCCATACGTCGACAGATAACGCCGTACTGGCCGTATTAAGTGCGGCCAGGTATTAGGAGAACAGGAGCTGGGAGGAGGTAGTTCCGGAGATAAAATCTTTAATACGTGATATCTCCGGAACCAGACTACGTAGCGGCAAACGGTTTTCACTCCCGTACGCAGAAAGGAGAATACTCTTAATCTTGCTGGTTACGGTCATCCTGCGCATGCGCAATGGCCGACCCGGCAAAGAAGAGGAACAACCCCGCCACTTCGAGAGGAGGAGAGAGCCACACACGTGGTGCGAAGGCACCGCGTTTAGCCACCCGCGATGGCCCTACCGAAGGTAGGGGCGGAAAACCTAGAAGTCCGCCAGCGGGTGGCAACAAGACTGCCAGCGGCCCTCGCTGCTGGAACTAGTAAGGCAGGCCCAAGTAACCTATCCCCAAAAACAGGAGCCAGTGATGCGGCCAACCTGGGGCCTGCCAAACAGACAAGATACAATTGTGAGGACTGCGGGAAGGCGTTCTACACCAAGAATGGACTTACAAGACACAGACCCGCGTGTGGCACCGTAGAGCGGACCAAATGCCAGTACTGCGGGTCGGAGTTTTCATCTTTTACTGGCGTGCGACTGCATGAGCACAGGGCACACGCCGCTGCAGTAAATGACGAGAAGAGGGAGAGGCTGAAAAGGCCGGAATCTGAACTGATGCAGATAATGGCGAGAATAGAAGCTGCCACTATAAAGGGGCAACCCTTTATAGACAGGATGGTTTCAGATACCGGCCTTACTCGCGACCAAGTGCGGCACAGAAGAAAACAAACCCGTTTACAAGGAGTACCTCTGTGCCGCCAAGAGATCCAAACAAACAATCTCCCTTTCCCTCGGCCTGTGCCCTCGGCTGGCAGCGCGCGCCAGTGCCCATGTGGAAACTCCTAACATCGAGGGTGAATCAGTCCACACTGAGACAACTGCGGAGCAATCTCCGCAGGATATTACCAACAAAGAGGACAGCGAAGACGACGGAGACGGTAAGACACCTAGAGCACATATTGTTGTTACACCAATTTTGCAGAACGGCGGTACGAAGCGACAACGTAATGAGTCGATGTCGCCTCTCATGCAGCCGACGCCTAGAAGGGCGCGATGCGATCACGACCTCACTCCCCCCCATGCACAGCCCAAGACCCAGGTTACTGTCAACCACCAGCTGCGCAGCTATCTCGTCACTGAGCGGGAGGCTGCGGCAGCTGACGGCCTGGGTCATGTTGTGGAGCTGTGCAATGCGGGTCTCGAGCTAGCCAACGTGCAGCTGGGCCCCTAT